CAAGCCTGCGTTTGTAACCACTGAGCTATACTGCCTCCAGTGGTGGCCTTTGGGCCTCATTAAAACATAATGCATCAGAATGGAATAGATTTCCCCTAGGTTCACTAGTAAAAGGGCAAATGCATTTTTTAATATTATATTACCCATAGGAATGGTGGGGACACTGTCATGAGATACACATACTCTCAGCATTTAGATCATAAGAAAAAAAATACACCTATTAATAACTAGACAATTATAGTATATGCAACACTTACAGCCCCAGTGATAGACCAGCCCTAAACAACCCTATTTTCTATCATACCACACACAGGTACCACCCAAGGTGAGGGAAACAGGAATGGACACTGGACCCAGAGAAGCTAATTTACACTGCTAATAGCACTTGAGACAAACCAGCCTGAAAATCTCTGCCAAGGCAGGCATGTGTAGGTTCAACCATAAGCATGTTCTCCAAAATATGAACTGGGAAATAGAACAACTCAGTCTTGAGGTAGAGAGGATCCAAAGTTATTCTAGGAATGCAGAAATGGTTACAATCAGAAATATCTACTAATGCAACTCACATCACAACTTTATAAGAGAATAAAGAAAAACTGAGTATCACAATATGTGTAAGAATAGGCATTCGATAAAATTCACTCAAATTGACACAGATAATAAAATTGCATAGAACTTAATACACACACACACAAAGAGTAAAACTGGGGAAATCTGAGCATAATATTGCACTGTATCCATGTCAACATCCTGGTTGTGATCTTACAATTTTCCAAAATGTCCCCATTGTGGGAAACTGGGGAATGTATACAAGGAATCTCTCTGTATCACATCTTAAAACTGCATGTAAATGTGCAGTTATCGCTATTAGAAAGTCAATTAAAAAGAGAGAGAGCAAGAGATGGAGAGGGAAGAGATCAATTTTACAGAAACAAAATTGCATTAATCCATCAAAATTTAGTAAGTTAAAAATATGGAACGTTAATTTTACTAAAAACATTATTGCTACTCTATTCTCCAAATGCTTTATTATAGTCTGCAGATATTTTAAAGTTTCAAAGTTTTTATTTTCAGAAGATCATAACCTTTCCAAGGATACTGACAACATGGTAATATGATGAATGCAATACTAGCCTATAAGAAATAGAGTCAGGGGTATCATACGATATATGATGCCTAAAGTAAAACGTCCATGTCCAAAGATTTTCCTTACCCTACATTATACCAACCTTGTGCTTGATGTGCTAGTTTTGTTCCAGTTATCATATTAGAAGGAATCATTGTGCCAACAAAAAAACCTTCACTAACAAGAGAGAAAGAGAATTTCCACAGTCTAATAAGGACTGTCCCCCAAACCCCACAGCAAGCATCATGCTTAAGTGGTGATGTGAGCAGATATGAACTCTGTTATATGCTCCTTACATTAAAGTTAAGATTCCCACTATCACTGCTTACAATTAATACAGTATTGGGATCCCACCCGGGGCCACTTAAAGTTTTAATTTAATTAATTATATTTAATTTTAATTCAACATACTTAATAATTAAGTATACACATATCTAATTGTACTTTTTAAAAGTTACTTTATTTACTTATTTTTTTAGAGATGAGGTATTGATATGTTACCCAGTCTGGGCTCGAACTCCTGTACTCAAGGGACTCTCCCACCTCAGCTTCCCAAGTACCTGGGAATATAGGCAAGTACCACTGGGCCCGGCTTCTTAAGTACACTTTCAATTAAGCATACTTAAAAGTAGAAGAATTAAAAAGAGACAAAATTGTCACTATTCCTAGGTCATGTGATTCTTTAGAAAACGCATGGTAAATTTTAGAACAAATAGGAGTCCACCAAAGTCGCCAGATTCAAGATGGACAGCAGAGAACAAAGAGCTCATGATGGACATCATGAACTGGAGTTTTAAGTAAGATAAGACATGAGATAATGAGATAAGACAACTCATTAGCACAACTAAGAGAAGTGAAAAGACCGAGCCTAGAGAGAAGACTGCAGACCCCTGCAGACTCTCCCACCACACTAGATCAAGGACTAGTCTCTGGGAACCCAGCCACACGGTGATGGCTCTTTGGCTCCCAGAGTTCCTTCCCGTGATACTTACCAGGACCACCTGTCTAACCTAACCTGATAAACGTCTGCAACTGGTACTCACGAGCGCCCAGCTCAGCCAGGCATGGTGATGTGCACCTATAATCCCACCTACTCCAAAGTCTAAGGCAGGAGGATCACTCGAACCTGGGAGCAACCTGAGCAACACGGGGAGACCTCATCTCAAACAACACCAAAAAAAATACGGCCCCACTAAAACCTACATACCTACATACAAAAGATGGACATACATTCAGAATTGGAATAAGTCATAGTTAACTCTAACTTCTACTTAAAATTCTAATTTTTATTTATTTATAAAGTCAGTTTTAACAGGCCCACGATCAGAGAGAAGCAGTGTGGTAATCTGGGGCTGCAAATAATCTCTAAAGTGCTCTTAATTTGTTTTGGAATGTGCTATAAATCTTTGTAGTAGGTATACCTTTCCAGTGAGATTTTGCTTAGACTACCATTAAAATAAGATTTAATATTATGAACAGAGAGTAACAGATAACCAAGAAGAATTACCCAGTAGTGGGATGTCAACTTTTTCTTTGAGACATGGTCTTACTCTGCCACCCAAGCTGGAGTGCAGTGGTACAATCACAGCTCACTGCAGCCTCGACCTTCAGGTGATCCTCCTACCTCAGCCTCCCAAGTAGCTGGGACAAGAAGTGCATGCCACCATGCCTGGCTAATTTTTGTATTTTTTGTAGAGATGAGGTTTCACCATGTTGCCCAAGCTGGTCTTCATCTCCTGAGCTTAAGCAATTTTCCGCCTCAGGCTCCCAGAGTGCTGGGATTACATACGTCAGCCACCACTCCTGGCTGGGATGCCAACTTTTGCCCAATGAGAGGAAACCAGGCAACATGGCACCATTGTTGAGTTTTTGAGCCATGAAGTTAATATGAACCTAATGAAGAAAATTAATATACAAAGGCATATGTAAGAGAGTTTGATGTTTTCAATAATGGCTCAGGCTACCTTTGGTAGCACTACTGAAGAAAGCTCAGTACCTTTTGTGTTCTTTGATATTCCTGAGACAAAGGATTTGGATGACGACAGCAATAACATATGTTTCCTTAAATGTAGGCAAAAACCCCACTTCTTTCATCATTCAGAACATGCTGTCCAATGTGGTAGCCCCTAGTCATGTGTGGCTATAGAACACTTGAACAAGGGCTTCACACACTGTAAGTTCAAAATCACACTGGATTTCCAAGACTTAGTATAAGAAATATATTAAAATCTCATTAATAATTTTTAATTGATTACATGTTGAAATGCTATTACGTTTATATTGTGTTAATTAGAATATATTATTAAGATTTCACCTGTTTTTTTCACTTTTTCAAATGTGTCTACTAGAACATTTTAAATTATATATGTGGCTCACTTTTTTGGCTCATATGGTATAACTACCAGATAGCACTGATTTAAAAAGTCAAAAGGTATTTTAAATGATGTGAGTATAGTATATGTAACACTTAAAATATTAATAAATATGTTTATAAGACCCTTTGTATGTCATTTGATAACAAATTCCTATAAAGACAGATATAACCTTGCAACAATGGTACAAAAGAGGTACCATGTATTAGGTTCTAACTTTCTGACAGGGATAGTGCTAAATGCTTCAGGTAAATGATCTGAAATTCTCCCAACAAGAAAAAGTAATTTGGATCAGGGAAACTGAGCAATTTTTTCAAGATCACACAACTCAGAATTGCTAGATCTAGGCTCTGAAGGCAGCTCTGAGGCCAATGCCAGTACTCCGTGGTACGTCAAGTAGAGAAACTAGGAGAAATCCTGTTTGGAAGTGGCCATCTCTTATGAAGTTGATTATTATCCAGTTTGGGCAGGGACTATCCAAGCCACATGCCTATCATTAAGAGGGTGGTCCTAATTAGCTGGGCATGGTGGTATGCACCTGTGGTTCCAGCTACTCAGGAGGCTGAACTGGGAGGATCGCATGAGCCCAGGAGTTTGAAACTGCAATGAGCCATGATCACACCACTGCACTTCGGCCTGGGAGACAGGGTGAAATGTTGCCCCCAAAAAAAGAAGAGGAGGCAGAAGGTGCTCCTTTTCAGTTTTGGATGCTGTAGAGTGATTCGTTTTGAAGACCAGTCGCTCATCCTGCTCTGAGAAAGGATTTGCAGGAGTGGCGTGTTGGCCATGTGGCAAAACCTGTCAGAGGCAGCCAAAACAATGATGCCAAGTGAGGTACGGTCAGCTGCCCGCGGCGCCACCTCATAGATGAATCCCTCTGCTTAATCCTCAGTCTGATCTAAGGTTCTGACTCTTGTCCACTCTTGGAATGCACTAGTAACAACAGCACTTACAGGATTTGAGGCCCTGTATGTGCTGTTGGAAGTATGTGAGTAGGAAGCAACTTCCAGCAGAAAGAGACAACAACACCATCCACAGGCAGACTAGCCAGAAAGCTAAGCCAGGCTGCCAAAAGAAAGAGCCTCCTAAAACCCCAAATATCTGCTGCCACCAAGCTTTGGAAAAATTAGGCACGCAAACCTTTGGCACGCCTTCATCCTTCTTCTCCCCCAAAACCCTCTTAGTCACTTATGTGATGGAAGTCTACAGATATTCTACTTAGCCACCACAAGTGCCCACAAAAAAGCAAATGTCCTTCCTGCAGCAGCTGAAAAGGTGTGAGTGAAGGATAGAATGATCGTGGGTATATTGGGGAAGGAAGGAAGAAAACCACCCAGAAAGAAAGACAAAAAAAAAAAAAAAAAAACAGAAGGCAACAGTGACATCAGACCTGAACCTAGGAATTTTTGAATGGCTCAGAATGGGACACTCTGTCATCTCTGATTTAATTAGAAGACTGTTTTCAGGATGCTGAAGGTCCAGGCTCATAATCAGGCACTTACATAATCCTCTTCATTGAGCCCTTGTTTCTCAACAGAACTTTTCACCTCCATGGAAAACTTCTCAAACTCAGGCTTCACTGTCCTCAGTAGAGTGACCGTCTGGAGGGATGAGTATGCTTGCTTAGCTTCAAAGTCGTGTTTGTCTCCTCTCTTCCACGAGCCATCTCCTACGGAAGAAATAAAAATATTTATAATTCCAAGCCAGCCACCATAAAGAGGCCGTTCTCCCTTTACAACTGTGACGTGTCCCCTGCTTGTTAGTTTGGCAGCCAGTACGAGAGGTATTGCCATAGTTTTGCACTTAGGTATGATGCGACAATGTCAAGACCATTGAAGGAGAAGGAGGCCCTCTGCACATGTGTTCCTTTGAAATGTGAGCAAGAAAGAAGAGGACTGTTGAGGTCATTGCCCTGTAATAACCCTGTAACTGCAATTTTCAGCCCTGCCCCACCCCCAAAATTACAGCACTGTAGGAGAAATAATTCAGTTTTTATTCCTTGCCATTCACACATTTTTTTTTTTTTAAGTCAGAGTCTCGCGCTATCACCAGGCTGGAGTGCAGAGGTGCCATCTCATCTCACCACAACCTCCACCTCCTGGGTTTAAGCTATCCTCCTGCCTCAGCCTCCCAAGTAGCTGGGACGGACGACAGGCATGTGCCCTTACACCCGGCTAATTTTTGTATTTTTAGTAGAGACAGGGTTTCACCATGTGGGCCAGGATGGTCTTGATCTCCTGACCTCATGACCTGCCCACCTTGGCCTCCCAAAGTGCTGGGATTACAGGCGTGAGCCACCACGCCCGGCCTACACTTCTTTTTTAACACGTACAAGCAACTTGTGCAGGTGAATCAAGTGGCTAGTGTGGTATAATAAACCTGATGTTATGTGGGTGTGGGGCAGCAGGTCACAGCAACGCATGACAATAGATATGCACAACTATTAGAAAGTTAGTGCTGTTAAAAGAAAGAAGTTTGAGATTACTGATATTTCTTGAATCTTTTCAGGGTGAGTGGTTGCTTAGGTCAACTCAAAGATTTGTATCTCTCTAGTGCTGGCAACATCATAAAAATTATTTCTTAGAAAAGTTCCATTAGTGCATTCGTGGTAATGAAATAAAAAATGCTAACATTTATTAAGCACATATATAATAATAATAAAAGCTCTATTTGTTGAGCACTTTATATGTATAAAAACACTTACTCCTCACAAGACCCTGTTATACGGGTACTATGATCCTCTCTATTTTACAGATAGGGAAACTGATGCGTAGGGAAGCTGGGTAGCCCGGTGTTTCACAGGTCTCTCTTTTACAACAGCAAAGTCAGATTACATGAATAAGCATAATTATTTTTCTCTTCATTATTTTATTTTCAAGAAAACATGTGGCTTACAGGACCCAAAAGACAAGGTGGGCCTCTGACTTTTGATAATGAGCTATTTTTTTCTATGAATTGTTATTATGATTCCTGGAGATCTCTGAAAATATAAGGAACTCCACTTGCTGGTGTCCAATGCCAAAGTCATCTGCTTGCCCAGAGCCCCCACATCCTTGGCAGAGGCCTTGAACCCAACAGCTAAGCAGTGAGAATATCTCTGGGGTCCGTGGCTGGGACTTTGTGGCATTCACTCTACTCCTGAAGAAGTTCAACAAAGACCTGGTAGCTTTGGAATTTCTATGACAGCCTGAATCAGACAAACATGTATGAACTATGCAACGTCCTGAGATTGGCAGGGTGGGCATTGTAAATACAGTCTCCACCACAATCAAGAGAGAGGCTGGCGGTGTGACATGTAAACAACTGAGGTTATCACAGGGAGGACCACAGCTTACTATGGCGGGGTGGTACAAAGAAACAACATAGAGTGTAGAGGAGGACAATCTAACCTGGGGGAAGGCTGCATGTGAGGAAGAAGCATTAGCCCGGTCCTAACTGTGTGAACAGGGTTTTAATAGGCGGAGAGGAGGGCGGAAAGGCATGCTTGGCTGAGCCTACAGCACAGCACAGGCAAAGGTGCAAATGTGCCTGTCAGCCAGGAAGCAGCTGGGTGCTTCGTCTAGAGCCCGAGGAAAGGTAGAGACAAAGAAAATGTTTGCAGAGCCATCTGGATAATCATAATCCTAATAATAGCAACCATTTATTAATTGCTTACATGTGTCAGGGAGCTGTTAAAAGATAAGCAAGACACAGCTGAGGACAGAATTCATTAGGAACTAAATCTGTGCTCAATGAGCACAAGATTAAATTTCAGGCCACTGAGCAAAACTTGACAAAGTCTTCCTCCTCTCCCATGAAACCTCCCAGACACTGTGGAGGCCTCAGTGTGAGCCAAGCCATACCCGTGCTCCGGCCAGTGAGCCATCAAGCAGGTAAAACCAGCTGGATGCTCACTCACCAAGACAGCATGGCCTTTGTTAAGGGGCCAAGTCCACTGCCAGGAAGACCCCAAATTCTAAGAATGCTCAGGACATCTTTGTTCAATGGAAGAGCCCATTACTTGCAGGCATGCGATAAATAGTTATTGATTCATTTTTAATTGACTCTAAGTATCAAGACTCAGTAGAGGTTATGTCTCAAGCAAAGTGGGTATGAGTTTCTCAGATCTGGAAAAAAATTCTCTCCAGGGGCCTAAGAAGGGAAATGCTTAACTCTATAGAGTTGTATGCTATGTAATTAGAAAATACAGATAGGAGTAGAAACTGCAACCATCTCAGGGACTGAAATGGGCAAAAACATTTTTTTTAATTTGCAAAGAAGTAAAATCCAGTACAATAAATCTGTCTACCACAATCTAAAAGGTAATGGCTTTGGAGTTTTGTTTTCCTATTTTTGTTGCTGTTTTGTTTTTGTTTTTGTTTTTTGAGATAGAGTCTCACTCTGTCACCCAGGCTGGAGTGCAGTGGCACAATCTCTGCTTACTGCAAGCTTCGCCTCCAGGGTTCATGCAATTCTGCCTCAACCTACCAAGTTGGGATTACAGACATGCGCCACCTCACCCAGCTAATTTTTGTATTTTTAGTAGAGATGGGGTTTCACCATTTTGGCCAGGCTGGTTTTGAACTCCTGATCTCAAGTGATCCACCTGCCTCAGCCTCCCAAAATGTTGGGATTACAGGCATGAGCCATTGCGCCCAGCCCAGAGTTTTGCTTCCTAGAAAAAAGAATGGAAATAGTAGTGCTTAATAAATGTAAGCCAAGCTAAATAGATATCTATTCCCAGCCATAACTGATACTGTGCCTTCCTGCTTTTTGTGGGCATTTCTAACAGTGCTGTGTCAGTAACATCTCCCTTATCCAGGCGGTTGAGCATGAGGAAAGCAGAGGTTGGCTTGGCATGACGCCCGATCAGTGGGGACGAACTTAATGCAGTAGACAACTGGGTGCCTCTGGAGATTTATGAGCAGAGCAGAAGAGTGACATGAGAATCAGCCTTGGGAAATAGCAGTGGATTAGAGTCGGGGAGATACCAAGCGTTCACAGCCACAGTAACCCAGGCAAGAGGTAGAGGAGGTTATATGTCGGAATTCACACCAAAAATGGCTCTCAGGATGGCTACAATTATGAGCAAGTTTTCTTTTCCTTTTTTTTTCTGAATATAGAAAATTTTCAATAATAACCACTGACTACTTTTATTATCAAAAAAGAGATAGAGCCTTTGAGAACAAAGGTAGAGGGCTGTACATGAGAAATCTCAAGACTGTACAACAGTTAGGGAGTGAGGGACAACAGAGAAGGAGGCATGTCACACATGACGCCAAGGAGAAAAAGAAAACAGGTTATCATTAAGGAAGCAGCAGAACCAGATGGAGGAGGAGGGAGTTAGGAGGACATGGAAATGATTATTTCAGTTAGGAGTATGGCAAATCCAAGAATGCCCAAGTGACCACCAGGCTAGAGGTGGAAATACTAGTCAAAAGCCAAAAAGAGGAGTGAGGACTAGAGACCATACTGGGTGTCATTTCCACACGGCTCCAAGTTAGAAGCGGGGGGCTGCCTCACCAGACATGAAAGAGAGTGCAGAAAGCAGAGGGACAAGGGCAGGGCACAGATACTTTGGGGGATGCTATTTTTAGTGGGCAAAAGGACTAAGAAGAGACAGAGAGGAGATAACAGGGAACCAGAAGAATGCTGTGTCACCAAAGCTAAGAGCATAGGGTTACCAGAAAGGAATGGATGGCAACCAGATCGAATGATCTAGAGACATGCTGTCTCAGAGAGTAGCCCCTAGCCACACGTGTGACTATTTAAATTTAATTAAAATTAAAATTTCAACTCTTCAGTCACACGTGCGGTATTTAAAGTGCTCGATAGCCACGTGTGGCTGGTAGCCACCGTATTGGACAGCGCAGACGGGAACGTAGCCGTCACTGCAGGAAGTTCCACTGGGTGGCGCTGCTGTGGAGGCATGGAGGCATGGTCTCAGGAAAGGCTAATGGATTTGGTAATGAGCAGCTCACTGGTGACCTTGAGGAAAGCACATGCAGAGGAGTGGTGGATACTAATGCTGTATTAAACACCCAAGCTTGCATTGGGTGAAGAATATTTATGAAAGAGGAAGGTAGTCTGCTCAGCACCAAGCCCTGCACTCAGCAATCCTGTGGCTAAAGAGCTGCAGCCAATAATGGGTACCCATGATGGGGTAGCTGTGCAATCCTGAAGCTCCCAGCACTTACCAAGGACCTAGCACATGGTAAGCTTTCAACATATATTATCTGAATGAGTAGCTGAACCATCACAGAATCTGCCCAAGAAATGAAGGCTTAGCCTTCACCTGGCCTAGCCCCACAGTACTGTGGATCTTCAGCTCTGGTGGTCATTAAGGAGAGAAAATAATTGCCTTCCTTGACTTACGCCCACCTTTTCCAAACGACTCCGAGAGAGGAAAAGACCATCATGGAAGCAAGGAGGACAAAATAAGTGTTTATCTTGCAAGCCTCAAATCTCCAATTTGATCTGCTACAGGAAGCAGTGGCTACTTTTGTTTCATCGGCTTTTCTTTATCTCCATGAAAAGTGTGTTTTATTATCTGTCTATGCACAATGATGTACTGCTCCAGTAAGCCAGGATGTCAGAGCAGGAAACCCGGGTGTATGTTTTAAGATTTAGATCCTGTCCAACTATATCTCATCAGCAAGAACTGGGAAATGAAGCTCAGTATAAACGTGCCATTTGTGATATACACACTTACACTTCCCCTACAAGTGCTCAGCTCTGAACAGCCAGCGTTTAGTGTTTGAGAAAATGTTCTGTAGCCTTACGCTGTCTGCTTCAGAGAGAGACAAACTACGTTTGGGGGAGAAATGTCTTGTACCTGTTATCTTGATGGCCTCCTTAAACACCCTCCATCATAAGAACCCACAAACTTCCCCAGATTCATTATAGGGAATTAAATGCTTTCAACCCTGTACATTGGTGGTTCACAACTTCTATATAGGAGTGGTTTAAGGTGCAGTAATCTGGAAGAAAGAGAGGAGGGGGATCAGTGGCTTTCAAATGATTTTTACCTCAATTTGCAGTAACAGTTATTTTATTTCACACTGTGGCCCATTGCAAACATAGGTGTAGCATGCACCTATACACACAAATCCACAATAATATTACTAAAGTAAAAGTTTTCTAAAACAATACACATGCTAAGTATGATACACCTTTACCTGTTCAATAGTGTTATGTTCTAGTCTATTCCATTCTATTAAAAGTTCTGCCCAAATCTCACTGAACTTATTCTGATCATGATGGTATCATGATGATAGCAATGTGCAGTTGGAAAAGCACTGGACAAGGGTTCGTTGGGACGTGGATTTATAACCATTTAAAGTGACTACAGGAGTGGGCTACGCTCATACCCAGACAGGTGTCTTGACATCACAGGTACATGGCATTTTTTTGCTCTAATTGAATTGTTGGAGATGAAGCTAATTCAAGAAATTTGAGAAGCTGTAGGAGTGTTCAGAGTCACAAATTTCCAAACTTGCATTTATGGAAATCACATTTATGGACATAATTCAAATTTTTGACTCTTTCTCACAACCCCCCTGTTTTTTGTTTCAGCATTTATTCTAGATACAAGGGGTACATGTGCAGATTTTTTACATGGGAATATTGTGTGATGATTTGGAGTATGGATCCTGTCACCCAGGCAGTGAACATAGTACCCAACAGGGTTTTTTTAACCCACCCCCATGTCCCCCAGGAGTCCCCAGTGTCTGTTGTTCCCATGTTTATGTCCAAGCTCAGTATTTAGCTCACACTTATAAGTGAGAACATGCAGCGTTTGGTTTTCTGTTCCTGCATTAATTTGTTTGGAACACGGCCTCCAGCTCCATTGCTGTTGCTGCAAAGGACATGATTCCATTCTTTTCTATAGCTGCATAGTATTCCCTGGTGTTTATGTACCACATATTCTTTATCCAACCCACCCTTCATGGGCACCTGACAACCTCTCTTGGAACCTTAGCAGAGGAGGGGAAAATGGAAGTAGAGTTACCATAGGAAGAGCTGTTGAAGAGCTCGATGTTGAAGAAGGCGTAGTCTCCACTGGTCATGCCATGCCTGTGAGCCTCCAGCATGATGTTCCGGATGGTATCACTGCCCGCACACATGATCACCACTAGGGGAGGAACAAACAACACACGTGAGGCACCCCTTTGCAGAGCACTTTGAGATCACTGACACCAGTAAGGGACACCTGACAAGGAGCAGGATACTTGTATGGTCCTGAAGTCTGTCCTCACAATCACTTGTTAACTACAAATGGACCATGGAGGAACCTAGCCGACACCTCCATAACCAAGAGATGGAAGCCAACATTACCAACCATGGGAACACAGACTCATGAGACACCTGGAATAACACTCCGAGGACCAAAAACATCCAGATGGGCAGCCTACATCTAATCAGGAGACAGCCATAAACCCAACCTGGAGGACAGTCTGTAGAAAATCGGCCTATGCTCTTTAAAATGCTCAATTTCATGAACAACAAAGTCAGGCTAAAGAAATGTTCTAGACTGAAAGAGACTTAAAGGAATAGGCAACTGACTACAATGTGTGATGCTGGATTGGATTCTGAACCTTAAAATAAATAAATAATGTTTTGCTATAAAGGGCATTATGAAGATGACTGGTGAAATTCGAATAAGTTCCGTACACTAGATAATAGAATTCTATTTCTGTTAAAGTTATTACTTTTCATAATTATACTATGGTTATGTAAGTGAACGTCCTTGTTCTTAGGAACACACTTGAATGTTTGGAATAAATAAGCATGATTCCGTACTTTCAAATGGTTCATAAAAAGTATAATCTGTGTGTGTATGTACATGTACACATATATTGATAGATAGAGGATAGGTAGGTAGGTAGAAAAGAGAAGGGGAATGGATGGGAGGGGAGGGGAGAGTAGGGGAGAGGGAAAGGAAGATACTTGAAATCATAAATCTAATGTGGCAAAATATTACAATTGATGAAATTCTTAAGTGAATCTTGTACAGACCAGTTCTTTATACTTTCTTACATCTTTTCCAAAAATGCAAGATTATTTAAAAATAAAGTTCTTTGTTTAAAAAAATGCATCAAATATATCACCTGATTTGCCCAATATAAGACAGTGCAAATTGTCAACTGTTTTTTATACTTAATAGCATGGTAAACGCATTGTTCTGAAAAAGCAAACTCAATAGTTTTAGAGAGAACATTCACTTGGCAATCAGAGGGGTCAGGGAGTGGTACAAGCTTTCTGCTGTTTGAATTTTAAAACATTATTTTCAGGTTGTCTCTACATACATAAGAAACGGTTTATAAGATTCCAGGTGTCTCTCATGTTCTCTCAGTTTATATCCACACTGTTGGATTCAAGAGGCTTCACACAACTCGAAACCTCTCCAGTTGGATATTGTTGCCTACCACATAAGGGCTACACAGGCTGGAGTGAAGTAGGGCTTGACCATTGCCCGGTCAATTTGATCCCTGTTGATATACCCAGGTCTCCATGACCAGGACCACTGTGTTTTGCTGCACACATACTGTGCAGAGGAGAGACCTGGAGAGACCTGGGTGCTATAAACCGCATTATCATGATGCATGCCAGCCCTCCAAGATGTGTATGTTCTTTGTAAAAGCATGGGTGCTGAAAGACGCAAAACAAACTTCAGGCTATGCCAAAGCGGCCTTGGCAACCTGCATGGAGGTTGGGCTCTTGTTGATATTTAGTTTACTGCGTACGTTAATTCAGTGTTAGATCACGACTCTGACATTTCATAGCCCAAAACGGCTTGGTGTACAGCATAAAAGCTCTAGAGAAAAAGTTTCTAAAACAATACAAACTTCTTAAAGACCTATAACTATGGGAGTAGGTGTTGTTTCTGCCTGAAAGTACAGTTATATATTTGGGATAAATAATCAAATTCCAAGATGCCTCAGTAAGGAACTTTTCAAAGAAACTCCTAATTATTTGTTATGACTTAGACTCTTGTTTTACCTCTGATTTGATTCTAGTCTCCTAAATGAACAAAATACCAAAATGTCCCGTAAAAAATGCAACAAGAGACTGAGGCTGGACAAGTTTGAAGAATGTGGATTCCAAGAGTGGATGTCTCCAGCAGGTTCCAGGAAGCTCTGGCTGACTGGCCACCAAGAAGCCCTCATCATTTTCTGATCAAGTGACCACAGTCCAGGGTCTGGCTCTCAAACCCAAGATGCAGAGCCTGGTTCTATCAACATATAGAGAGTAGAGTCATTTCGTAAGGGCAAGTTTCCAATAACGCAACTCAGATATGTTTAGGTAATCTGAAATGCATGCTACTTAAATTGAATGAGGACCAGAATGGTTATGAATATACTTGTTTCAACATTCCAACTAACTGGAGAGACAAATTATAAACAGTAGGATGTAGGTAAGTATGAAATCAGAATCAGGGAGGCCAGTGGAGGATTCAGGGTGTCAAAGGCACCAAAATTTGATGATCCTAGGCATCCATCTAAGAGATATATCTGGTCCAAGACCAAACAGGCAGGGTCCAAGGACCAGAGGACAAGATTTCCTAAACTTTGCCTGAAGTATTCCTAAACAGTGGCCTCTGTGGCACTTTTTTTCTATTTTTACATTCCTGGTTCATCTCCTTCTCTCTCTTCCTGCTATGGTTTAGTTGTGCTCCCCCGATTTCATGTGTTGGAAACCTAATGCTCAAAATCAAATGTTGATAGTATTTGGAGATGGGGCCTTTGATAAATACTTAGAATTAGATAAGGTCATCAGGTGGGTCCCCAAGTTGGGACTGGCAGTTTAGAAAAGGAAGAGAGACCTAAGCTGGAACACGCTTGCTCTCTCACCATGTGATGCCCTCCATAGTGTTATGATACAGCAAGAAGGCCCTCACAAGATGCCAGCACCATGCTCTTAGACTTCCTAGCCTCTAGAATCATAAGCTAATAAACTTTTTTCTTTTTTTTTTTTTTTTTTTTCAGTTTAAAGTTTTTATTTACCTTTATTATTATTATTTTTTTTTTTTTTGTGATGGAGTTTCGCTCTTATCACCCAGGCTGGAGTACAATAGCAAAATCTCAGATCACTGAAACCTCTGCCTCCTGAATTCAAGGGATTCTCCTGCCTTAGCCTCCCAAGTAGCCCGGATTACAAGTGCCCACCACCATGCCCAGCTAATTTTAGTATTTTTAGTAGAAATGGAGTTTCACCATGTTGGCCAGGATGGTCTCAAACACCTGACTTCAGGGAATCCACACACCCCTGCCTCCCAAAGTGCTGGGGTTACAGGCGTGAGCCACCACACCTCGCCATAAACTTATTTTATTTATAAATTACCCAATCTGTGGTATTTTGTCATAGCAACAGAAAACAAATGAAGACATACCCCACCACCACCAAGTCCTTCTGAAGGACACATTCTTTGTTTTTTTGTTGTTGTTTGTTTGGAGACAGACTCTCACTCTGTCACCCAGGCTGGGATGCAGAGGCTTAATCTTGGCTCACTGCAACCACCATCTCCTGGGCTCAAGCAATCCTCCCACCTCAGTGCCTCCCACATAGCTGGGTCTACAGATGTGTGTTAGCACATCAGCTAATTTTTGTATTTTTTGTACAGATAGAGTTTCTCCATGTTGACCAGGCTGGTCTCAAACTCCTGGCCTCAAGTGATCTGCCCACCTTGTCCTCCCAAAGTGCTGGGATTACAGGCATGAGACACCACACCCAGCCTACTTTCTTTTTCTAAATGTTAGTACCCACTTAGACTAAGCAAGTAGAGTGGTACTGTATCTATCTAAGTATATTTTGATTATTTTAGATCTTATCCATTTAGTGTTGGTCATGTGATTTAAGACTCAAAAGGAAGCTCTAATTTCCAAGTTCATGGGCACAGCATTGTCTTTCTTGAATAAACCAAGCCCATAATGCACATCATCATCCAATTTCAGTTCAAACTGCAGCAAGCACCTAATAATAGTGGCCCAGCATTCAGAGTGCATGATCCTAGATTTCTATGATGTTCCCCAATCTCTTAGAGTTGTCTCATCCATGCCTAATTGAACAGCAAGTATTTTTAGTAGTTTGCCTTTATACAATCAAAAGGTTTAGAATAATTTTTTATTAAAGTAGCTTTCTCTTCCTGCTCATGTTTTATTAATTTATATAATAACTAATTAAATTATGGATTTATCATAATGAGCACAACCAGCATCAACAGACTTGGGGACAACTTAGAAAATATATGAAGTTTATATATTCGTATATTTGATGAATAAATAACAATGAGAAGTGTGTAGCATATTCAGAAGAATGATACTAGCTGCCAACACCTACCAAGAGGTGATAAGATATACAGAGAACAAAGAACATCAGTTAATCCTGCGACCTGCATAAATGGAGGTTAATTGAGGAAGTTTTTGTTGTATCACAATATAGTTAAATATATAAATATTAATTTTAGGTCAAATTGTTGAAATTCTAAAAGAGGGGATGATGGTGTAACTCTAACTTTATGTATAGACTTTTTTCAACCGACTCTATTTTCTCCTCCTTGCCAAAGAACTTTCAATGTTCCATGCCACCCCCTATCATCTGGTTCCCACAACGACTTCTGTAAATGGCTTCTCACTATTGCATCATGTTCTTGCAATCACCCTAAGAACAGCAGAGAGAAATGCAAAGAGGTGGCTATAGTAGTCAATTCAGAGTATCAAAAACATTCCACGTAGTATGCCTGAATTGGGGGGATATTTATTTCCCAAATTTCACGTTTCCATTGGAAGAAATTTCTAATGGGCTAACAGTTCTCATCTCTCAATATGCTTTCATTTACCCTCCCCTCACCCACAACAAGAGGAAAAAAAAGTGAAATGTCTGATTGTTGAGCCTAAAACTCAGTATACTGGCTCAATCTTTTCTTCCTTCTTCTTGGGTTGTGGCTCTTTGCAGAGAGCCCACGTCATGGGCTTCTTGTGTCACATGGCCAGGTGTTAGCAGGGGAGATCTGCAGCTAAATGGCACTATCTGTGACTTAATAGATATCCCTGCCTAATTCTGGAAGGAAGTAATAGCAAGCAGGCCCTTTTGGAAATGGATCTAAATCCATGTTCTCTAGCTGGTTTTATCAATAATACAGATATTTTCATATTCTCCATTTGGCTCC